CTCTGCGAGTTCTGAGACGGAGTCTGCCAATCCGCCAAGCCAAAAACATCTATGCTTCATTTGTTATTCTTCATCAAATCTCTCGGGTTAGACGTGAAAAAGTTTGCATGACAATTATGACGCCATGCCAGTGCTATTCGCTGAAGACGAGATCAAAATATAAACTACACTTGGGAGAATCGCTACTGTTTCCACTAAACTAGTTAGTTTATTCTCATCCTCGAAAAACAGTGTTAGTGAAGTTTTACAAAAAGTGAAGGAAAGCTTGATTTTTAAGAACTCATGATATTCAGATAATTAAGACACTATCAGAGAAAGTTATCCTTTCTGTGTTTAGGCAACCCCATAAGGGTGACGAGCTTATTGAACAAAGTGTGTACCGTTTTCGGCCTTGACTCAATAGCTGAAGTACCACTAAGTGGTAGTTACACGAGTTTTTTTCCCAGTGATGGTGCGAATTGGTGGTGTGGTGAAGAATTTATTCCCATAATCTCTGACACCATCTATGACGGTCCACCCCAACGGGTCATGACTAGTCAGCGATCACCGGCCGCAATTGAGATGAAGTACTCCGCCACCGCCGTGCATCTATGAGTCCATAAAAGGGACACCACACCAACCAGTCCAAATTGCTCGACTGCCTATGATTTAATTTTTGAAAAGGCGAAAACACATTCTGTTATTAACGAGAACCTATTCGTGGACGGCAGAAATAGCTGAAGACGATGAATATGGCCGATATAAATTAATAGTTACTACTATAAAAAATAAGGAGCGAGATACCGCACCTGAGTCTCTATGGTGCATACATACTAAGATTCTACAATCCTTTGATAACAGAAAAAATTCGACATGATAGCTTCACTTCCCAAATGAGTATGCTTACGTCGTCACGCTATCTGTGGAAGTCGTTGAAAATAAATCGAGCTCGATTAAGTCCGATGAGAAGTCAGATCAGACGTTGCATTTGACGAGACTAGTTAGTGCACGTCACCATCCAATTTCTAGATGAAAACGTCAGCTTCCTCAAATCAAACCAAACTTTTAGGGATGCCGAGAACCAAATCGGGAGTAAATCGTAGAGAAATGTCGTGGTCAGTAGCAAAGTCACCTTATTAACACATGTGGTTGATTGTAATTCGAATAGAGAAATTGAGTCCTTCTGCACTCAACCAGAAGAAGTCTTCAATCTCAATTGGACGTTGATGTGGGTCTTTTTCAGTTGTGGTGGGAACAGAGTACGAGGATAACACTATCATTAGGCAGTTATGTGAGGCGTGAGTGATTACGTCGAAAGGTTGCGCATCTAATTTGCATTACGTATTCACACCTGCTCGCGAGCATCGACAAGCACTCGGTCGGTGGGCAACGACGAATTTTGGAAAGAGACAGTTCTCAAATGTCAGACATAAGGAACCTCTTCACATGGTGCCACTTCGCTGTGAAGAACAACGTAAAGCTTGAAAAAGCTTCCCCCGTTGATCAGTGCCTTAACGATGTGCCATGCATTCGGCTCCATTTGTAGCGTCACAGAAGTGACTGGATGCACATGTGGCCTATACAATGACTTTCGATGTTGCATCGATAAATGAATTCGGTGCACAACTTCTCGCCGACAAATCTGGCACCGACTTGCTGACCATGAAAACATCGAGAGCTTGGGGTGGAACGAATCAACGTCTCTGTGTAGGCATTTCTAATCACCACAAACTACGCTAACGAGTGATTTTAACATTCTTAACACAAATAAGGTGCACGAGCAATTCGCAACACACATTAAACGAATACGTGGAGAAAAACGGCCAGAAATAGACATAAAAACAGAGGCGAGACTTATAGGTGACCAGAAAAGAAAATACTTTGCATGGATTACGTTAGGCCGAAGGTCGTGTTTTTGCCGTTGAAGAAGCACTTCTGAAAATTTAAATATTATGTGAACCTCCGTATGTCAGAGTTTGTCAGTGACGCTTATGATGTTATTCTATATTCTATGTTATTCTATATTCCCGTTGTTATTCTATAATGGGACATCTCAAGCCAAATGCTTTCACCTCTGGAGAGATGGAAAAGAATTGGAGAGATGAGAGAGACAAAGCATGAGATATTGACGGCGAGTTTGATGACGTCGTATGATCTCATGGAAATTGGAGACGGACAGTCGATGACGTGCCCCGATGGGAACGCATTGGTGCTCTTTGGTTCATACTAAATAGAAACCGACTCCTTCGAAAAAGTTTTCTGGAATGATGGATGATTTTCTAAAGTTGCAAGCCGATGAATGTTTTTAAAACATAGAAGAGGATACCAACATAGAAGGCTATATTGTGAACCAATGTCAAGAGTAAAACCTACAAACTGTTCGGGAATTCTTCCGCGTAATAGAACACCATAATGATAGGTTTTGTCGTAAATTTCAGGAATTAAAGTTAAACGTTGTCTGTTTTTCGAACTCGAACAGACAACAACACGTTCAAAGCGAATCTTATACGAATCGTCTGCGCTCCTCAGCTAAATACATTCTCCAACCTGTATGAACATCTTTGAAACCTTGTCAAGCCCAGTACCATCGTCATCGTCTCAAAATTATCCCATTCACAGGGCCATAACCTTGCGAATGCCTTTCATGACGATGATGGATCGTGCTGTCGACGGTTTCTTTGGATTCTACGGGAAGAATTTTGCCGAGCGAGCAACATGCTACCGACATGGGAAATGTGCTGGAGACAACAAGACGTCCCGCGAAAAGAAATCATTCAGTCATTCACGTAGGTTGATACATGATAAATGACTTGAATAAGTAGTTGGTGACTGCTCCGTTCTATTTCTACCATGTAACTGCTCAATTTTCAGACTCTAATCCACCTCGGTATCATAGTCAGCTAAGATTTTCCTACTGGATTTTGGAGAAGCACACTTTTTTCCTTGAATAAATAATATTTCAAATAAGGAATTAGGTTATCAAATTACTCGTCACAGACTATGCTAGGAGGATATCATTAAATCGATTTATGGCTTAGAACACTACATTTATGATGTTTTTATACCTAATAAGTGGCCTAAGGGATGGAATTTAAACCCAGAAAAGAATGATTGGAAAATTATAAAAAAATTAAAAAGAAAAAAACATCTCCATAGAAGAAGTGACAGCACATAGGGATCATTTAAGAGTTATGGGGGATTATTCGCTTCGCGTCACACTAATTTGGTAAGTTCTACTGATATCCAGTAGATCGTCCTGAGTAATGAACAAAAGTGGCTCGAAAGCATAAATGAATGGCCCAGAGATACGAGAAAGCAGTTGGTGAGCTCATCTTGCTTTTGATTGAGAACTTTTCTCACCTCTTCTGGTTTTTTAGAGCACTTTCGTAGAGTGGTCGTTGTGGACCTATTCTTATTCTATTTTATTCGCTACTGCATTCATTGAAATATTGGAAGCCACTAGTACAGGGATCCCTCTCAATGATTTACCGCCACATCACAGTCCTGCTATTAAAGTCGCATGATGGCAAATCTCCCTCTGATTCACAAGAGCTGCGAATGCCCGTGGTGGTGAAAACTTGGGGCAGAATTTGGCCATGCTAACCTCGGAATTCCAGGAAACCACAATGGCATAGCCAGCAAATTTCCGAAAAATGGAGATTATGCTGGGGGCCTCACAACCAGTGAGAATGAACCATTCAAGTATCAAGTATCAAGTAACTACAGAGATCACTTTTACATATGGAACTTAAAAGGCACTGTCGACATCACCATTGCTTTCAAAAAAATAAGGTCATACTTTTTGATTCACAGGAGATAATGAGAGCTCTATGGCCCTAACATGCCTTCAGTTTCACCGAAATGTTGGTAGCTAATAAGGTTTCTTCTTTTTGAAGTTACAAGAAGGCCCTAGCAATACATTTCCAAGCCATCATAACAGGCATTTGATGTCGGAGTGGAAGGTTAGATAGGTGGAAAGCTTGCTGATATACTTGTTCTCTGCTGTGAATGGCTTCAGTTGTTTACGTCTCACTCTAATCTCGGATGAAGGTCTCAAGATCTTTTATAACTTGGCTTATCCTGCTGACAGATGAGCACCCTGCAGTACTTTGCCTTGAACAGAACGGAGCATACTGTTGCTATGGTGACCCCTCAACACATTTGATTGTCAAGTATACTAAATAGTAGGTTGCTGGTCGAAAGTAATACGAGTTTCTATAAAGATGTTTGAGTAAGTTGTGCGTCAAATACTACCCACATTAGAATAATAACACTTGAGCCTTGGCGCCTAAGTGATGCACAGGTCACCTGGCCGGAATCTGGGCATCACCGACATAGAGTAAATATGGTATGGCTCACTATCCAACTGTGCTCTCTTTAACGAAACAAAGACGCTAAGTGTGTAGACTGTAGGAACAGAATACTCAGTGACGCATTTGGTTTATTTGCAACACGATCTTAACTCATAGGTTCGTGTAGCGCAGTGGTTAAGAGGTGCTCTGCATTATGCATGTGGTCATTGGCTCAATCGATTGGTGCTAACCAAGCACCATTGGGGTCGGTAAATTGATACCAGACTGGTCTCGGAGAATTGAAACACTGAGTTGAGAAATCAGTAAGCCAGCGCAAGTTATGTAAATGCACTGATTTACATCTAGGATAATACGAATGTCCCTTAGGGAATAATAAACGCTATTTTTTACGCCTTGCGGTTATGAACTACAAATTTTCCAGGTTGGATTTCCAATCACAATTCTTTTCCAGAATAAATCCTTATAGTCCCAAGCAACAAGCTCTCAGAGGCAGATTCGTATCCGATTCACAAAGCACCAAGAACAATTCTTACATTCAGTAAACAAAGAAAAGCCACGAAATCCACTATCAAGTAATATAAAGTGTTAAAATAAAGCTGAATACCGGTAACAAAAAATGTACAAGATAATTCACCATAAATTATGTTCATTAAGTTTAGTAAGGTTAGTTTTCCAAACACCTAGGGAGAGAAGCCCGACAAAAGTCGCCTAGGAATTGACGTCTGTTGTCCATCTTCTGGCGTATTCTCCTCTGGCACCTGGCAGATCACAGGCACTGATGATTTTCTGGAATGATTTTATGTAAAATGATATGATACCATACACGTACGAAGTTGCTCAGAATGGTTGAATGACCTGGAATCCTACAGTTACAAGAATCAGACAGTAGTATAGTGCTAGAATAGTCGTATGCGAATGAACGGATGAGCGAATGAAGCAATAACTGCATTGAATAGAATGCACCAAAGGGTAAAATCGGCCGTTCATTCGAATATCCCAATATGGTATTATAATACCTAGAAACTTTCCGAACGATGTTTTTTATAGATTCGAGGAGGCCGATCGTTCTACTGCTTTGTATTAGAAATCATCACAATCCTCAACAGGAATAAAAACAATGGTGTACAAGGCGTTGGTCCAGAGATTAAGATTTTGAGAGAAAAACTCTTTTTAAAAATGCATAGTGATCCCATTTGGGCCAAAAGCCATGAAAAGCTGGATGCTTCGATGTTCCATGTAAGATACGGTAGTTCCTTTAGCTGAGTATTTTGTCACTGCTTCAATTCTACAGCAACCAAGAAGGGAAGTGTTCGTTATTAACTGAGGAAGAGAAAACAGACTCATCCAATGTTTTCATTAAATCGCTAACTGGTTTTAGTTAGCATAATGCAGGACATATGGGACAAATCTATTAAATGCTCGCACTTTCCGTTCTCGTGAATGAAGGTACTCATAGGTGTTTCATAATTCTGTTTCACAATAATTCGATTCGCTCTACAGAATCTTCTCATCAGCTCTTGAAGCTCATCAATATTGCTCCTGATGCTTGCAGCTTTGAAAAGCCAATTAACTGACTTGCACTTATGTCATAGAAAACAACAACTTGCCCCAGTGAACTCAGTTTCGAATTTCAACATCTCTTCTGCCGATTCGGGTACCGGCTGACAACGAAGGATTTTCAGCACACGTTTGTATTCTCGTTTGTATTTGTCCTGAAACACTCAGTTAGAACAACATAGATGCTTTCATAATATTGAAGATTTTGGCAAAGAACTTCCGAGATATATAATTCTTAATGCGCTAGTGCAGAGCAAAGTGGACGGAGTGCATTGTACGCAATTCATTTCCTTATCTGTGGTTAATTTTGCCACGCAACCTTTTTTGGCCCAAATGTTGTTTCTATTAATTCGATAGCGCTTGTCCAACACAGATTTAGTGACAGGCGTCGCATGTGGAAAACAATTAGTACCAATATCTGTTTTAGTGTATCTTCGGTTTTTGCCGTACGATGATTTGAGAGGTCCCGGACAGGTTAGTTACGACACATGACGAGCCGCCGACACCTTGGTAGCCGACACCGGGTTAGACCGAAGCAAGGAATATGCTTGGCGATACATACTTGCTGTGAGATGCAGTTAGGATGAGGAAGTGGACAGTGATAGTGATTCAGAGGAAATATGTCGTTGCAATGTTATCTCCTTGTGTAATAAATTCCATTCGCACCTAAAAGTATTCACGTGTATTTAGGTGGATAGGCACGATTGTATGTGGATAGTGTCTAGGACATCCTCAATGGAAAAAATAAGAACAAAAGTTACTGCAAAATCCAACGTAGATGGTCTGGGTCACCTCCAAAAAATAAACAGGATGGCGGTCTCAAGGCAACCGGATAAGAGAACCATGAAACGCACACAGCACCCGACAATAGGGTCTAAGGGGCTATCTGGTGGCACACTTTTGACAAAAAAAGCAGGACTTAGGGCCTCATTAAAAAAAATTATACCCTTCGCAATGTTTAGTTTTTCATTTACTTCCTATTATTATTTTTCGCGGTAGGGTATGAAGTGAAATACAATCACTATGAGGCTGAGATATTTGCAAAACTTGGTCTGTGGTCCAACTTTGCAAATATCTCCGCCTTCAGCTACAGCATGATTGCGGTAGTATTTCACATTATACCCTGTTGTGGAAAGTAATGCTAGGCAATAAATAAAAAAAAATAAACACATAAACACTGTAATTTCGACTTCAGCCGTAGCTTTGAACTACGCTTAATGCTGATCTGTGCTCCCCAGATCATTCCCGTTGACGGGAGATTGCTGATGGCATCGTTAGCAGAAAAATTGGCAGAGAGAAAAGAGGGAGTCTCAGTAGTGCAGTGGGTAACACGTGAACCCCGGAGAGGCTAATCGAGAGTTCAAGTATGGCTTGGGATCCAAATTTTGCAAATATCTCAGGTTCATAGTGATGATAATCTTCGACGAGTGAATGGAGTCACTGGACAACAAAGGGGCGTGGAAAGCAGAAATGAATGCCTTACTGTTTGTTCAAACCGCACGACTGCCGATATCTCGGGTAGCAGGTCTAGCTAGGCGTGGAGACAAAGGCTCGATCAGGAATTTAATCCGAAACATCGACTTTCACTTAAACTTTCTTTTTTCGATCGGTTTTTCACTTACATGGAGTATTGGAGTTACGGAATAGCAACCGAATAAAATGTGATATGCTGTAGCACGCCTAGGATCTGAAGCAGGCGAAATCGCCGAAACGTCACCGCACTTAAAAAAGAAAGTATACCAACCTCGCGCTAGCTTAAACAAAATAAGTTCGTAAGAAGTTCAGTTTTTTCGATAGCCAAACAAGGGCTCTCTCTTGTATAATTCCGACCATCACTAGGTTGAATCGAGTGCCAAACAAAACGCAGTTGCATTCTACCCGACTCTCGAAGCTCGGGCATTCGTAGTTATAATCGTATATACCTTATATGTTTTGTAGAAAAAAAATTTTTTTTAAGTAAAAAGACCTACATTGTACAGCCCATAGATAATTGGATTGAGGCAAGAATTCGACATGGCAAGCCAGTGAGAGCAAAAGAATAACACATTTATGTATTTCCATCTGAATATGTTGAAAAGATAGAATATTTGCTTGACGGTAACAGAAGACTTTAATGAAAACAATACCCATTGATCTCCGGTCGGACCTCGTTCAGGAGAAGGTAGGTCTCGAGTGGAAACCAACATAATGAGAAGCAAGCCACGACGATCATCAACATGTTCATCAACTGAACGACTTTCAGTAGATCAGTGTGAGTTAATAAACTCTTCGACGTTTTATTCGAATATGAAGGATTTTTTCTGCTGTTCATCATTTTCTTTATCAAGGCTTTCTAAAAGCAGCAAATGAGAAGTAAATAAACACTTTTTTCCAGGTTTTTAGTACTTCTTTACCAACCGCTTCAAAATCCTACTCAGCATTGGAAAATAGGAAATCTCTCCCTTTTTTCCTCTCTCTCTCTTTCTCTCTCTCTTTCTGAAGACTTCAAAATTGGAAGAGCGAGCCTGTGAGAGGAAATGAAGGGTTACAGCTTAGGACTTTAAGATAGCCTCAGTTTGTTTAACTTGAGTTTGTTTTTCTTGCTAAGTATCTCCCACATTTTATGCTATTATGAAAATTTCCGCGGCATAGTAAATTATGCCCATATCAAAAAAGTAAAAGTTGGTGTAGTGAACTACTTAAAGCTAATGTGCCATATATACAGGATCACTGGTTCGATCTCACGCCTCTGACAAAGCGCCCCATTGCCCGGGAAACGGTGGACGGACAGCAGAATTTGCTGGCAGAATAAAAGTGCTAGCTTCGCACATCGGTGGTTTACCGAAAGTTCGTTCATGGGAGCAGATACGTATTCAGTCACCTTTACGATTCTTAATAGAGTCGGTTGTACGGCTGATAACTGAGGGATTGGTAGGCGCCAATCGTTTTCTCCACTGCATTTCAATTAGACAAGCGGTTTTTCAAAAATAAAATAATTAACAAAGTGTAGGAAACCGCTTTAGTGTCTGAACGTACCTTTCTGTTAGAAATTTCGGCATTGAAAGTGGGCCGATTATTATCTTGTGATTCATCACGGCGATTAACCGTCGATCCCCATATCTAAACAATCATGTACTGTTAACGAATTCTAGCAAACTGAGTGATGATGTAATCTTTTTTACACTTTCAACACCTCACACCACCAAGCTCCAATCCTCCCACTTGTCCATAATTACACAAATTAAAGCAAAAATGATTTTAACCTTTATATTTGCTGCCTATTCTTTTTAACGGCAAAGTGTTTTGCGAAATATAATTATTGTAATGCTAAGATATATGCAAAACTCCGGACCGCAGTTGTCTGCGGTGGGAAACGAACGCGCTATTGTCTTTTCCGGGGAGTAACGCGTTCACCACCACACCATGTCTCTTTGGAGAGCCCAAATCGGTATCCCGTTGACGGGTGATTGCTGATGGCAAAAGATCGATAGAACTAGCTGAGGGACAGACGAAACGAAGGACCCGCATGGTGTGGTGGTGAACGCGTTACTCCCCAGAAAGGACAACAGCGTGTTCGTTCCCACCGCAGATACCTGCGGTCCGGAGTTTTTCAAATATCTCAGCATTACAATAGCAAAAATGGTTGTTCAGAAAATGGTATTGGATCAGCAGTGCCGTAAGAATAGAGTGATGCTATTTCGATGATCATAAGCTCACCACTAAAAAAAATAGGACGTTGATTTATGGCGGCTCAGCTACTTGGTTATTCCCCTTCTTGCGGAGTGTGGCACTCTCAGAGTTCATGGGAAGGTATGGCAAAAGGATCGTCGTCGAGCTTGGTGACTCGAAATGAGAGCTCCAAATTTGCATTTCAGAGGCAAAATAAGGGTGAACCAACCAATGGTTGCAAATTGCCATCGCCTTGAGACAAATTTTAATTAGTTGCAATGCGAACAGTCTATATCCGATTCAAAAAGGACGACGAATGCATGTGGTGATTTAGGACGAAACGGAATGACTATTTGTGTACTCCGAGGAAAAAATACTTGAGTAGAAAATGTTTCACTACCGTAGTCACCCAGCCATTCTATCTACGACATGATATGGTGATAATTTCAGGTCGTTATGGACATCATTGACATTGGCTCAAATCAACACTTCCACGATAACGAGAATGCTCTCTGCTTTACATCCACCGCACTAGAACTGCCGTCTCAGATTTTCCCTTTTCCTCATAGCTAAAGATCTTTCAATTTACATGTGAGTACCCCTAAGATCCTATGAGTAAGAATATCGATTTAAATCAGTTCACGTACTCTCCAACAAAAAGACGAGTACTATTCTGTGAACTCTTACAAGAAGAGACGTGTCTTACATAGCAACTCTGCTCAACTGCTGTCGAAACTTCCGAAACAACGAAACATGACATTACATTGCCTCCTTGATGCTGTACTCTGTCTTGGATAGGCTGGCTTATTGGACTTGAACTTAAAGGGCTGAGGAGAGAAACTCATATAGACCATGCACGAAGCAGGCCACCTTTGAGGGAAACGGCGCTCGGGTAGGGCATGTAGATGATGAATCTTTCTAGTCCATTTCCAAGCAAATTCCTCAATAGAAAATGAAAAGACAATAATGAGAATAGATGACTGAATAAAGGAAGAAACAGAGAAAATTGAAAAACCATTTTAAGATTATTGTTTTGTCTGAACCTAAACTAGTTCTCTATAGAGGATATTTCAAAAATTAGTTCCCTTTCTGACATTTTCCAAGTCGTTTTCACTCACTGATTAACGTCAAATCAATTTTGAGGAAGCAGTTATTAGATTCATACTTAGTTACCAATGAAATTAATGTTCTACCTTTTATTTGATTCCTACTTCAATTTTTCACGGCAGGGTATTATGCGAAATACAACCACAACGATGCTGTGATATTTGCAAAACTCCGGACCGCAGTTGTCTGCAGTGGGGAACAAACGCGCTATTGTCCTTTCCGGGAAGTAATGCGTTCACCACCACACCATGCGGGTCCTTCGTTTCGTCTGTCTCTCAGCTACTTCTATCGATCAGTGCCATCAGCACTTGATGGTAGTCAAAGTCAAATATTTGAGAATTTCGAGAAAAATAAGTTTGTCTACTCTTTAAGCAGATCTAACAAGAAGACCAAAAGAAGCACACTCACTTTGATAGCGATCATTGTGTATGCGGTATCCAAGATGATCATCGGCACAAAGTAGTGGATAATTGTCAAGTAGATATTGTAGACTTTCCACCAACTCTCGTCAGCATACACCGGGCGGCACTGTTCGTAGAAAGTATTGCTATATAGTAAATTCACACAAGTACGCGTAGGTGGCACAGTGGTTAAAAGTGCCATGCTAGAGGTATATGGTCGTCGCTTGGAGCCTCAAGTTTAACCACAATCCTTCCGGTATAGGCAACTTGTTTCTAAATGTCTGAGAGGATAAAAACATTGGCGTGATATTTGGGTAGTCACCGAAAGTCAGCATATAATCAATCACCTCTACAATGGTACACAAAGTTGGACACCCTTTTTGCGCTGATCAACTTCGGATGTTTTATGCTTTACCTCTATATCATATCACTTACGTCATGTTTAACTATTCGTTTTTACCTATTATTTATTATATGCACTGGGAAAGATGCGACTTCATTTTCAGGAAAGTCCACCATACGCTCATACTTAAATGGTGAAGGACATTGATGAATCTTAACAGTTAAGCCATTTCGGCATTGTTAGAGTGTAACACAATCGCATCGAACATTACTCACGAGGAATGAATGTACGATGAATTTGCTGCGAACCCAATTTAGAACAAGTGGATTTAATCTGAATTAATTAGTTGGTCACTACTTGTTTCAATACCTAATTGTGGGTTTCCCAGTCTGGGATCTCTTAAGTAGGGAACGAGTCCTATTTTTCCACCTACTAGCTCACCGAAGTGGGAACACATGCTATGGTGGAGTGCGATGAGATTTAGGGGTCTACTTCTCGTTAAAAACCTTTAAGAAAAGGAAGTGCACCAAAGTAAAAGTACGGTGCTCTTCGTCTTGGTGGAATTTTCAAAAGCACAGCAAGACGATGGTGATATATAACGTTAGGAAATGATAGCAGGTGGAGCTACCAAGATATTCTGAAGAGAAACTGTGCCCTAATAAAGTATTCCGACTTCCTGCTGAGTTGAAAAGATGTACGCTTTGTGTTCGAGTAAAATCCTTACGCAAGTCTCATGCCGTGGAGCACTATAAAATATGGATGCTTATAGCTAGAAATTTAACAAAACTACGATTCCTTCTGTACTTGTCGCTTCAACGCATGTCATTGCTCTAAGTTCTACATCAGTAGCATAAAGGATGGGAATATAGCATACGGCGTCGATGGATTCTAAGTGGATATGTCACAGAGGAGGTGACTAGATGGACACTTCGTACACACGATAGTTTGTATTAGCCTAGTGGTGCACCATGTTAGCATTTTTATCCTCCTAGAAAAGTTTGGCACCAATTTGCAAACTTCAGAGTAATGCAGAGCATGGCTTACCCGAGCCTTGGAGTGAAGCAACAACCACATATCTATTGCAGGCATCACAACCACTGCGCTACACGTCCATGTAACAGCGAAATGTCTTATAGAAACAAAAAATGGCACTTCGAATAGTTTACCTGAGAAATGATAATACTACCGTCTGGAATCTCATATACTTTGTGGAAGAGACCGTGAGGCAATGACACCACGGCTGCAATCACCCATATCACCACCACAAATGACCTGAACAGAAACCAGTTATTCCTAGTAACTTTGATTTACCAGGATATTTACCTTTCCGTTCTAATATTTTTGAAAGAAATGGTGAAAACCTTGAACACTTTATCATTCGAGATAAAAACCCCCAAAAATTTCCGCGAATTTCTTTCAACGCGATAGGGCTTTGTTTATTTGTAAATAGTGAAAAGCACTGCTGAAGATGATTAGCCTAAAATCCAAGTGGTCCGAAATTCATGAACATCAATAACTTCGAGGATGGCCTCGATTGAGACGCTGTCTCAAGCTGAGGTCAATAGCCCATTCAGTCTTTCTTTATGAAATATGATTCAGCACCTATTATGGAGAAAAAAGCCTGTGCCGTACGATTTCGTCCATGAACACTGGTACAGCCGCTGTAACTATTGTTTCGTATTGGTTTGCCAAATGAAGTACTTCGGTGTTTCATCATAGCTAAACTACTACACACTATTCCCAGAATTTTTGTTCTCATCCCACTTTTCTCTCCTTACCAGGTAAATCAACAAAGGACTGACTTTTCACAGCGTGCCAAGTTATTCCACTAACTTTCTGGCTAAATGGCTGGGTTTTCACGAAAATTGTGTAAATCTCAGCAGAAATTTCATTTACCGGTATGTTACTGGTTCTCTAAGATTCTTTCCTCGGAGACCGACAGAACTTGAGTTAAACCGTTTTAGATCTTGATTACACGAAAAGCAGAAATTGAGCCCGAGAACAGTAGATAAGATAACTACAGCGAGAGTAGTTTTCTTTCAGGTCACCTGCGTTTAAGTAAAACCGGTCTACTCTTTGCCGAACAACACTGTCGAACTCTGACATGGGTAGCCTCATGGGCAGGTCAATTTCTGCTATATAAAACTTTTACATACCCTAAAAGATCCTCTTGCCACGGGGAACTGGACCTTACATAGAGAAAAAACGGAGCCATGACTACTGTCAAAACGACTGGCCGAAAAATTCTTGTAACTGCCTTTTATTTTTCACAATGTACAATAAAGAATGATGCTTGGGTGTAATAATTTGGAGATCTCAGACTACTCACTTAACATTTCGGCCATTCACTCTTCTATTCTTAGCAAAGAAAACAGTACGAAATTCGTGAACGGCCGAAGCAGTCAGAGTAAAGACCGACACCGACAGTGAGACCGTCTCAGCGTATGGTACAATTTGGCATAACGACCATGGAAGGAACCATTCCTGAAATGCATATATTTATTTCTAGAGATTCAGTAATGAGATAAACTTTACAGCATCCTATTTTTTTTTAATTCTACAATGACATCGAACCGTGTGCGACTTTAGATTGCTGAAAATTCATGCAGCCCTACTAAGCGCCTTTTATTCCTGCCTGATTGAGTGCTATTTTTACAGGCATCTAATAGGCTACGGTGAAATTCGCTGCCTCCTAGTGATTCTAGAAATAAAGAATGACTCAGCTCTCATTCTCTTTAGACTGACTGACGCCTCGGCTCTTCTTTACATCCTATTTCTATAAGACAACTTTTATACAATGTACAGAAATTAGGGCTAAATGTTACCACAATTGTATTTTTGCAACCAAATAATGGAATGAAAATAGGAAAGACCAACTTGCCAAACTTTATTCGGATGAATATTTAGTTTGTCAGCTATTTTTGATTCGTTCTCTCACATCCATTATCTACGAAGGTTTTACAAATAGACTCGGCCACCGCTTGAGTATTTTGTCTTCTTCATGGATGGTCTTAGATTCTGGTCGAGCAGATTTTCTTTCGAAAGGTAAGCTACATGTGCTAGCGCTTTCCGAATGTCCTCAACAAAAGCACCTATCATCATTCGGAGCTCTCCCCAGATAATATACCGTACGGGTCCGCGAACCACGAAAGGATAGGAGGCCTGGTTGCCCTAGGACATGGTCGAACCAGGATCCTTGCTCGTAATCTTACCCAGTGACTTTAACCAATGAGCTTCCAGCGTTTTTGTGATTGGACATTAGAGAATTGAGTATATGTCATTAGTGTCTGTCATTATATGTCATTAGTTATAGCAATAAAAATGTGAAGGAAACACACAAATGTTCCGTCCTAGGTGTTTCCATCAGACCTCCCATGCCATTTGGCTTACGATTTTTTTTATGTTTATTAAGTAATAAAGAAAAAAACCATCTTATTGGTTATTTTGAAGGTTAAACAAATTCCAGGTAATTACGAATATAATGCCTTTTTTTAAAGTTCTAAATTTGTGAGGACCCACTTATCTGTTCTATCTGGCTCTTTACTTAAATTCTTTCCTCTACTTCCAAAGTTGTTGATCACGTATCACTTGCCTATCACTGTCAACTGTTATCTTAATGGAAATCAAGTGAGTTGATACTTTCTTGAATTGTTAAGCTAACGTGAGGTGACAAAGATGCATATTCGGCCAACGTTTCGACGTCCTCAACCACATCAGAGCTGACGATGCTCGTTGTCTCGATGTGGCGTATTCGCCATCATATCGAGTCGGATCTTCTTCAGTGGGTGGACTACCGCTCTAACAAGCCAACCACAGCCGGCCGCGTTTTTTATACAGGACGGTTGTTGTTGTAAATAACTGTCCGTTGACAATAATTTGTTGTTCAACGATAATCCATCCTGCGGCAGTCGGTTGCATGTTAAGTGTCAAATAACGAATAGCAAAACAATATTTTTAACAGGTAGTCATCAACAACAACAGCCGTCTTGTATAAAAGAGCGCTGGCGGGTGGGGTTAACCTCATTCGAGTGGTGTTCCACTGAAGAAGATTCGACTCGGTACGACGGCGAAGACACCACGTCGAGCGAACGAACAGCTGTAGACCATCGACTCGGATCACCGGCTCTGATGAAGAAGAAGACATTGGAACGTTAGTCGAATAAATGTTTGGTAACTATATCGTGTTAGCTTAACAATCCAAAATGGGATTGGGGAATAATGTTTTGTTATTCCTCAAGTGAATTCACTTGCTTCTCATAACATCTGCAATTGATCCGGACTCCTACGGATCAACAAATTGTCATAGAACGCCATCACTATTCGCATGAAAACTTTCTATGGAGAAATAGACGACTTCGGAAGATGAGTTGTGGGCTGTGGCTTTTTTGTCATGCCCCGTATCGTATCCTAGGTATCTCGACTACATATTAACACATTTGTGACCACATGGTCTCTACAGGAGTCATTAAAATGCGAAAATAATAGCCGCTTTCGACTTTGAATCACTATATCTCGGCTCATAGTGAGTCTTATTCAATTAAAACTTTTAAAATCTACAGAGCCTTGCCCATAAGGAAAAGTTTTTTGTTCCACCACGATGAAGTTCTGGTCTTCTGGATCCCATGACATATATCCCTTCCCTCGACTGCATCAAGGCTTGTATTTCGAAAGCGAAATCGAATGAACAAGAGCATTTCGTCTAGGATGACGCGATTGTGCTACCCAATGTGTCGCTTGTATTTGCAGCTGCTGCTTTTTCTTCGGAAATTTGCAAAACTCATACTTCGTTATCAATTCTTTGGAAGTGTTAACTTTAAGCATACTTGTGTTTAAAAGAACGCTATAGAAAAACTATAACTGATATCAACGCAATACGGGAAAATCTGTTTTAAAAATCCATCAACTTCTTAACTCTGAAGTATCTAGTGGCCGAGAAATTATCCTCTACTGTCGAAAAACCAGCTTCAGCGCGAATTTGCTAATGAATGAGGAACGTTATGGAGGAAAATGCCTTGATTGGGCTCATGTGTTTTCCTCACTTATTTCTTCTTCTCTCCCAACGGTTTACCAACTCATCTTGGCTGGGAACTGTTCCTGGGTGTCGGGCTACGATGTACAACAAGGTGATTCATCCCCGCTGCAAAGTCTCCCAGGTTGAGTCCGGCGTTTCTATCAGAAACCCAAGCAAAATGTAAACCACTACCAGGATCCACCACCGTTCTGGTTTCAAACTAGTCGCATACTGCCAAATCTCCCTCTGATCCACAAAGGCGGCGACTGCCTGTAGTGCTGACGACCTGGGGCAAACTCTGGCTAGGCTCACCTGAAGACGCCATAGAAACACAATGGCTAAGCCAGCAGAACTCTAAAAACTGCAGAATATGCTGGGCCTCGGCACAACTAATGAGGAAGGGCCGCCCAAGTATTCAAAAAAGTATTTCTTCTTCTCTTATATGTAAAACACCTATGTTGCAAGGCTTTTCTTTATGGTCAAATTGTTACTGGTTATGCTGACCTTCCGCTCAAAATCGACATCTATAGAACCTTCTATGAACATACTTTCATCTTTGGAGGATATCAAGAACGCATTATATTTCATATGATCATTGCCTTCATAGTATTCAGTCGTGTTTTTTAAGTATTTCCAGCTTAATTCTTTTCTTAACCAACATTACGATATTTAACCTTATTTACTGCCTTACAAGAAAGAATTCTTAGCAGGAAATACTACGTGAAATCCTACCACAAGGATGCAAAGATATCAGCGAAACTCGCGATCCCATTCGAACACAAGATTACGCTGACCGGGTACTCAACTGCTCTCCACCAAGCCAACCAAACTCGTTGCTTTTGCCTTAACTGAGTTCCAGATTCTTAACGATGATTGGTGATAGCACCGATAGAGTAAAAATATCGCTGAGAGAGAGGTAAAAGAAAGGGTCTCGGTTGGTGTGTATGGCACGTGAGTCCATGTAAAGGTAATTGCTGGTTCGAAGTCCATTTGAGACTCCAGTTTTACATATATATCAACATCTTTATAGAGTCAGATCAGTCCGATGCCGATTAATCGTCTTTTGAGAACCTTGATTTTCTGAAAACAATGGCTTCTCTGTCAGTGTTAACAGGTGTGGTAATCACTAATAGACTTTGCAATAGGAAACGTTTTACCGATTATGGCAGCACCGTGCTTATTATTTTTTAATTTTAATTTTATGTGACCAGTCCACACATCTATTGGATGGATCCTAGTATTTTTCACGTTCAATTCGCTTACTCGCATTCATTATCCATGAAAATCTTCCAAGTTCTTACGTGTGGCTTTGGCTGCTGCTTTAGGCATTTTTTTCTTTTCATGTTGAGTGTTGTGGAATGCTGGTCGAGTCCATTCTTCCTGGAGTCCTGAGATACCCGGACTGGAGCATCCTCTGGCTGCAAGGAGTGATTTTTTTCCCGAACAAATCCGGTACGACCCCGTAGGGATCAGAGGATTGGTGAGCCGGGTGCGGAATCGAACTAGCACCGTACTAGTCATGACCGACATCATTATCACTGGGCTATCCTTCCTCTGTCCCCCCAAATTCTATGCATGTTTATTATATATAATTATATATAACCATATTCTTTGTCGATGCATTGTCTGTCGGGTGATGCCTAAAGTTCGGTGATGATTGCGCGATATGACAAATACTTCTTTTGAACTATTAATACACAACCACAATGTTGCAGCGATACTTACGTGGCAAAACGTGGAACTCCAGCCAGATCGAACCGCGGTTATCCTTTCCGGTGGCCCACTTGTTACGCACAGTACCACTAAGGACATCACTCAGCCTTTCTCTCACCCAGTCTTTTTACCTTAACGGTGCCGTCACCAATCACTCGTAAACGGGAATGATCTGGGGATCACAAACCTCCATTAAATGCGGTTAAGCTGAGGCTATAGATGAAAGTCACAATGAAGTTTTATCTTCTACTTGTTATTCTTCTTTAGGGTATAAAGTTAGGCTAAAAAAACTGGATGAGAGAAAGACAGAACGATGCCCTCAGTGGTGACGTGCGTAACACTTGAGTACTGGGAAGGGGTAACAGCGGCTCGGTCTGGCCTGGCGTCCAAGTTTTAAAAATAATACTTCAGTATCATTGTGGTTGTGCTTCACGTAACACCCTGCCGTGAAAAAAATAACGTGCAATAGTTAAAAGTTATGCATATCAATATACAGCATATATCATATTTTTAAACCCAATTCATGCAGATCTAATTGTCCAATGGGAGCGGCCTTCGTGTTATTCTTCTGAAAAAGTTGAAAGGAATCACAGCAATAACTGATAGAGGGTAAGAAACTCGTCTTAAGAACTTTTTTCGATGATTTTGATGTATACAGAACAGCTCCTCTCGGACAACGCATGACGTGACATCTATGGTAGCAATCTTATCACTTTAACACCCAAACAACCGCAAATAAAGCTTGTGCGGCAAAAAATGT